CTTGTAAGTGGCACAACCATTTTGGAGAGCAATTTGGCCGCATCTGATAAAGTTGAAGATGAACATTCTCTACAACCCAACCAAACTCTCCCACGCAATGTATCTAAAGAGACTCATGTATTGTATTATAGGAGACATGGATAAGAACATTCATTGAAGCCTTTTTTTATGACAGAAAAGCATTGGGAATAAATGTTCAATAATAGAAAAATAAATATGTTGGTATGTGTTCATAAAATGGCTAAAACTAAAAAATATTGAAAGTTGCATAATGCAAACAATATGTTGATACAAAATTTAAAATATTAAGATAGTATTTAGTTTATGTACACATAAATATGTAGTAAGATTAAAACATTCACGGGAGAGAATGGAATGAGATTGGGATAGTATGCAATGACATCCAACTATATTTGTTAAGTTTTTTATCTTTAAAAGGAAAAACAACCTGCCGAAGCCGGTTTGGCTCAGTGGTAGAGCGTCAGTCTGCGGACTGAAAGGTCCCAGGTTCGATTCCAGTCAAGGGCATGTACATTGACTGCGGGCACATCCCCGGTAGGGGATGTGCAAGAGGCAGCTGGTCGATGTTTCTCTCTCATCAACATTTCTAGCTATCTCTCTCCCTTCCTCTCTGTAAAAAATCAATTAAATATAAAATAAAAAAATAATAAAAATAATAAAAAATAATAAAAGGAAAAACAACCTTAAGTATATATTGATAAACATTGTGGGGGAAAGATAACAAATGTAATACTGTCAACAATAAAGATTTAAAAAAAAAACATTAAGATTTGACAAAACTGGTTCATGTATAAATGGGTATTTTATCCTCTATTAGTCTTATTTTGTTCTTTATGATTTTATAGCTTAAAATGGTAAACTTAAAAAATCAGGCAAAGTCTTATTTGCCTACTATCTTAACACAAATTAATATTAATTTATTTTGTCAGTATAAGAAAATCAATGTGATAGGTAACCTAACTACATTACTTAGATATTATATCATTAATATTTGTTATTTCAAATGAAAGCAGGGTATACCTTTTTGAACTTGCAATATGCAAGTTTTCATTTGAAAATGCACTTTTTCACTATTCTTGTTTAGTTGAATGTTAATTTTTGTTTTTGTTTTTCTTCTTTTTGGTTGCAAAAAATTTTTTTAATATAACATAGCAATTTCATTTCTCTAGTTAAAGAAACACTTCCAGTACTTGTGAAACTGTTCTCAAAAAGAGCACTATACCTATTATCTATATGATCTTATTTGATTAAAATCCATGGGGTTTTTTTTTTTAGACATTTAAATTTATATTAATATTCTTTATTTAACTTTGATTCCAAAGATCTCCAATACCTGGCATCCTGCATACCCAAATTTCCAACTTCCATGCAGATCTGAAGCAGCAGACATGGGATAGCCAATGCTGCTGACCCCTATGTCAGTAACAGCCAGGTTAATGATAATTGCATTTGTGGGTGTCCGGAGTTCCTTGTACATAATGAAGATGCCCAGAACTATTATGTTGCTGAGAATACTTATCATACCTGAAAACATAATAACCAAATGTATAGATTATTAAAGAATTATTAATTTTACAGAAAACTTTTCTCAGCCCTAAGTCACTGCTCTCACACGGTGTTTCAAGATTCAAAGTTGCCCTGGTTAGGTAGCTCAGCTGGTTAGAACATCATCCTAATATGTCAAGGTTGTGGGTTTGATCCCTAGTAAGGGCACATAGAATCAACCAATGAATGCATAAATAAGTAGAACAACAATTCTATGATTCTCTACCTTTTTTCTCTCTCTCTAAAATCAACCAAATAAATATTCAAAGTAACTTACGATATTAACCATTAGCAATGCTTTCACTTATCCTCTCACTGACATGCTGTTACTTGATCTTGACAGCCAGGAAACAGTGCAACTATCATCACCCTCATTTCCTAAGCACCCAACTCAGAAAGCAAAAGTGATTTCGGGAGGTTGGCTAACCATATGAAACTTGAGACATTATCTCTAAACCTATGCCTTTTCTACTGCCTTCTGCTGAAATCCTTTGCTTTTCTTAACCCACTTGAAAGTAAAATTACTATTAAGAGAGTAATTAAACATCCATACCTGCCATTATCAAGTAAGTTGCAACAATATTGTGTTCAGTCTGTGAAAAAACTGAGTCATCTTCATTTTTAAAATCTGAACTTTTGCTTAAATTATTCTTTAGCATTCTGGAGGGAAGATATTGAGTCAGCCTTCAATAATTATAAAATGCTATAAATGCCACTAAGGGAAGAATTTTCAGAACTAATCATTTCCACTTCAAGATCTCAAAGAATAGCCTTTTCATAAAGGCCCTCCCTTGACAAATGTGATTGGGCTAAAGAGAAAAGGATTTTAATCCCCAGAGCAAGGGGAAACTGTATTAACAAAATAAAGAGAAATACCAGGCCAAACATTTTAACCAGTTTGGGCATCAGTCTTATATCTAAGATTATCAAGTGCAAACATCCCATTTAAACAATAAACACACTCAGAAAATGGTAAACTTAAAAAATCAGGCAAAGCCTTCTTTGCCTACAATGTTAACACAAATTAATTTTTTCTTGTAAAAAAAAAAAAAAAAAAAAAAGCTGACTTAACTGTTTTCTGCTGGAAATCAGTTCTGAAATTAAGAGCCAGGCTTAGTCCTAAAACCAGTGAGATTAAAGTCCCTGTTTTCAGTTGATCCTTTAAAGTTTTTCCATTTTAGATACTTTTGTTTTTTTCCATAACCATTTCATAGAGACAAAGAAGTAATCTTAACACATCCTTCCAAATGTCACTCAAAGATTATTTCTTTGTCTCTATAAAAACTCTTAAGGTAATATTGTTTGGTTTATACCCTTTCCGCTTTCTTTGCTTATACAAACATATTTATAAAAGGGTTTGAGGTGTCTCCCACTTTCTTAGAAGCAAAAATAAGGAGCTATATTTATATAAAATCATCCTGTAACTTGTTTTCCCCAAAAGCCACATCATAAATCCCAGGTCTGGAAATGTAACTTATTAATAGCTGTATATTTCATAGCATGGGTAAGTACAGCATGATCTACTTCACACTCCAGTTCAGTTAATTTACTCTATACTTTAACATGCACAAGTAATATCTGATCATACCCACAGCACGTATCAGCCAAGTACCTGAATTCATCCATCTTGTAAAGTACAGGGCAATTCTAATATTCTGAACCACCTTGTTGAACTCAAAAAATAGGTTACATAAGTGAATTACAATCTAACATACATTTATTATTAGACTAAGATAACCCCAACACCTTTTCCCCCATACTTTTAAGGTCATGAAGTATTATTGGATTCTTCTCAACAATGAATTTAAAATCAAACTCTAGAGAAATGCTACATGCACAGCATGACAGAACCACTAGAGGGCTTTATTTCCCCATTTAATTTAATTACATAATCTTAGAATGGTTCTGCAAGGGACCAAAAGTAATTGTTTTGCCCCAATTCTCTCAGCTGTATATAAACTGAAGAAATTGAACGAGAAATTTAACTGCTTAATTGCTATGGCAACAATGCATTTTAATATGATGCAGTCAGATGTTATTCAGTGAATTCAAAAGATTTAATATCTTTAAATAAGCATGAAAATATCTTTCACAATGGAACTCGGCGATTACTTAGTACCATATTCATTAGTGTTAGGCTCCCAACATATGTGAAATTGATTCAAAACTAAATGCTCCAAAGGAAACCCAGAATGAACTACATTAAGGAAAAAACAGGAAAAATAAAATATGAAAATAAAAGATTAAAGTTGGCCAATGACCAAAAGATTTACCAAGTAAAAGGTGAAAGAAATCTCCATGTTGTAAAAGCACAATTGTTTACTGGTAAACAGTAATTTTCAACATATTTGTTCATCATAATATTTATGGCCTACATATTAATGCCGCTACAATTTCATCAAGAGAGTAGCAAAACCCACAATACTGACACAGGCAATACTCTATGGTACTCAAATGAGCATTAGGTTGGAAAAATTTAGGAAAAGATATGATATCATTCCTGAGAAAAAACACAAGGGGAAAAAAATTAATGCAGAGGAAATGGTCCCAGTACTTGCTAACATGGTTACTGTATGATACTACAACAGCAATAGGGATCAATACCAATTTCACTTGTACTATCTCTTCCTAGGAATCTGAACATGTAGCAGGAAATCAAATATTTGCTTATGGTGAATAACAGCTTAAACCTTTAGATCTCCTTTAAAAATGAAAAATAAGAACAATCAATAACATTTTCAACATTCAATCTATATTAAATGTTGAAAAATTAAACATTTCTTCAGAAATTTCTTGAACTTTAGTTGTCTTTGAACAAAGCTGTCCCAATAGTTGCAATCAATACTAAAATTTTATAATCAATTAATCATTACAATTAGAGAAACTACTTTACTAACACACAAAATGAAAATATAATAAAGGGTGATAATGTCCTAGTATATAAAAGGCAAATATTTAGAAAGGATGTTGGTTTATAAATAATATTAAAGTGTTCCTTCACTAGTATTGTTTTTAAAGATGTTATATATGTAAACAGATCATTTTTTTTCTACATGAAAACCACTAGGCTTAAGCTTTAGTTGTTCATTTTAACCTCAAAAATAGCTCTGGTTTAATAAACACAGTTCTAAGTAATTTAAAGAAATAAGACCTTTTTTATTATAAAAATTCAAATATATTTCATGTGAAAACTGTCCATTTATTAAGCGATCACAGTTCCCAACATTATATAAAACAATAAAACGCTTGTCCAAGCTCCATAAGTGTCTTTGCTATTGCACTCTGGTTGTGTGACGTTGACTTCCGAGTGCCACTGTCATGTAGTAACCGGTTCTTCAAGACTTGCTCAAGAAACAAATTTCTGATCCACAGAAGTAGACCATGCAGGTTAACGCAGAAATTAATTGATGAAGTTCCTCTGTCAACAGTTACACTTAATGTCCTCTCCCTGATTAAGAGAAAATGAAAGTATTAAAGGTATGGAAATTAATAATACTATTACCCAAATCTCAGGTTTAAAATCAGCATTAGTTCTTATAATGTTTAGCAAATCTACTTTATTAAATTTAACTGTAGTTCATATTACACCTTTTTATTTTTCTAATTAAAAATACAGCAAAATAAACTGGAAGTAGGTGATAAAACTCAAAGGGAAAACAAGGAAGAGTGATATAAAATGAAGCTATAAATTAGGCTAAAACAAAGAACATCATAATGTTCTACAGACTTGCTGGCAAACAAAAATAAACCTAAATAACAATTTTTAAATGGCAGATAATACCAATTCTAGAATTTCAGTCATTTAAAGGTGTTTTTTTCATACTTACCTCTGAAACCACCACCCCCTCCTCTTCCTCCTCTGAAGCCTCTACCTCCTCCTCTTCCACCTCTAAAACCGCCTAAAAATAAAGGAAACATTTATTAAATAACGGTAGCCTATCCTATTCTAGTAGGCCTACAAATATCAATACAATTCCTACAGTTATAAAAAAAACAATCACAAATTATCTTGCACCTCTATTTCACTGTAGCATTATTTAGAATAGCCAAGATATAAAAGCAACCTAAGCCAGGAACGGTTTGGCTCAGTGGATAGAGCATCGGCCTGCAGACTGAAAGGTCCCGGGTTCGATTCCAGGCAAGGGCATGTACCTTGGTTGCGGGCACATCCCCAGTAGGGGATGTGCAAGAGGCAACTGATCGATGATTCTCTCTCATCGGTGTTTCTAACTCTCTATCCCTCTCTCTGTCTCTGTGAAAAATCAATAAAATAAAATAAAAATTTAAAAAAGCAATCTAAGTGTCACTTGATGGACAATTGAACAAACACAATGTGGTACATATTATATATACAATGGAACATGACTTGGCCAAAAAAAATGAAATCTTAGCATTTGTGACAACATGATTGAACCGAGGGTATTATGCTAAGTGACATGAGTCGGACAGAAAGACAAATACTACAGGATTTCATTTATATGTGGAATCTAAAGAACAAAATAAAAGAATAAACAATAGAAACAGACTCAGATACAGAGAACATTTTGATGGGTTGCCAGATGGGAAGGCGTTGGAGGGCTGCAGAAAAAAGGTGAAGAGATTTAAGTACAAATAGGTAGCTACAAAACAGTAACAGGGATGTAAAGTACAGCAGAGGGAATACGGTCAATACTGCAATAACCATGTACTAGACTTAGGGGCCTCCCTCCTTTCCCCCCGGCCGACCCCACACCCTGGTCCAACTCCCCGAAGAACTCCCAGTTGGGACAATTTGCATACTATGCTTTTATTAAATAGGATACCAGTATTTGGAAGTATGTGTTTTTTTTTTTTCTTAAAATTTTTTTGTCAATTACAATTGACATATCTTAGTTTCAGGTCTAAGGCATATTCAGCCTGGGTGAGGGGCTGAGGACCATTTCCAGGCTGGTCACACACCCTTTGGGGTGGGATCCCTGCTGGGGGTGAGGGGCTGAGGGCCGTTTGGGGGTGGTTTGCAGGCCTGCCAAGATCCCAGCTTTGTCCAGAAGGTCTCCGGTCTAATTAGCATATTACTCTTTTACCAGTATAGATTAGTATAGATGGTCTTTGACATGACATTGGAATATACAGATGTTATTTCTGGGCTGCCAATTGGGATGTCTGACTGCCAGCTTAGGCAGGATCCCCCGGGGAAGCAGGCCTGAGCTGTCAGTCGGACATCCCCTGAGGGGTTCTGGATTGTGAGAGGGCATAAACCAGGCTGAGGGATGCCCTCTGAGTGCACAAATTTTCATGCACTAGGCCTCTAGTAAATAAACAAACATTTGGGAGGTTTGCCTATGTATAAAATTTAATTGTGCTATATGAATTGGCTGAAACTTTGAAATCTCATTAGAAATATTCTCCTACAAGTAACTTACCGCCTCTACCGCCTCTGCCACCTCCGCCTCTTCCTCCTCCTCGACCACCCCTGCCACCACCTCTTGGAGGCCCCTTTTCACCTGGAGGTCTAGGTAAAAACCTCTGCAGTGGCAGCAGCTTATACGGGTCTATGTAAAACTGAAGTAAAATAGAAACAATTAGTGTGATGACTTGCTTAATATAGTATAGTCACTAAGATTATATAATTATAACTATACCTAGACTCAAGACTGCCAGGGTTCAAATCCCAACTCTACTACATACTATTGTGTAAAGTTAGTTTTTTTGTGCCTCAGTTTTCTGATCTGCAAAATCATAATAATAAAGTAACTATCTCACATAGTCCTTGTGCAGATCAAAAAAGTAATGCACGTAAACTTTGGCACCTAACATGACCAATTCAATCTCCTTAGAAACAGACAATGCCTTCCAAAAATTAACTACAACTTAACAGAATTGCCTGCCATAAGAAAAAGGAAACTACTTAATACTTAGCATTAAAATAAAACATTGACATATAGCTATTTCAGTATCTTAATAAATGATAATTACTTTTCATTGAACATATAAAGTAACAGACCAGGAGTCAGCAAACCGCGGCTCACAAGCCACAATTGGCTCTTTGGCCCCTTGAGTATTCTAATGCCACTTCTTCAAAACAGACTCGCCCAGACCGAATCTACTTCTGTGCATGGGCCACGAAGTTCCAATCACACGGTATGTGCGCGCCCACACATGACATTTTATGGAAGAGCCACACTTAAGGGGTCAAAGAGCCACATATGTGGCTTGCAAGCCTCAGTTTGCTGACCATGTAATAGACGATTTGTAGAAACTAAACCCACCCTATATTTAGAACTAAGAATATTTTTCTTCACAATAATGAAACATAATAAGGTATAGTTCACAATTTTGCACAGAACACACACGAGGACTTCAAAACTATTAATATAATCTATATACTAGGTGTACCGGTTAATAATGGCAAATTTTGTAATAAAAAAAAAAAAAAAAAAACACGATAATTTCAAGAGAAACATCAAAAGTGCTTTATTCAAAGTAATGTCCATCGCTAGCTACACATTTCCTCCATTTTTCAGGTAACTTGTGGATACTGTCCCAATAGAACTTTTCTTGTTTTGAGGCAAACCATTCAGAGACCCAATTTTCCACTTCTTCATAACACTTCAAGGTTATATAGTATGTGTGCCCTCCACGGAGCAAGTGGTAATCTGAAGGAGCAAGGTCTGGTGAATACAGCAGGTGGGTACTTTCCAGGCAAGATCTTTTAACGTGCCTTTAACTGGTTTTGAAGTGTGTGATGGTGAATCATCATGAAGCAAAATTACTTTGCCGTGTCTTCTAGCCCATTCTGGTTGTTTTATGATCAAAGCGTGGTTCAAACTGATTATTTGTTGTTGATAACGATAAGTATTAATGATTTCACCTGGTTTTAGAAGCTCATAATTCACACTTTCCTGATCCCACCAAACGCAGAGCATTGTCTTCTTTCCGAAGCGATTTGGTCTGCAGTTGATGTTGATGGTTGACCTGGTCAACCCATGATTTTGTGGGTTTGGGAGTCTCCAAATAAGTCCACTTTTCATCGCCAGTCACAATTTGATGCAAAAAAGATTTTCTTCATGCCACTGAAGCGACATTTTACTGATGACTTTTTGGTTTTCCATTTGTCTTTCTTTCAGTTGATGTGGCACCCATTTTCCTTCCTTTAAAATCCTTCCCATTGCTTGTAAACAATCGGAAATTGCTTGCTGAGCAACATTTAATCTTTCTGCAAATTGTTTTTTAGTTTGACACACATCTTCACTCAATATGATTATAATTGTTGGTCTTCAAACTTTTTCAGTTGACCTGGACACTGTCTTTCACATCGAAATCATCACTTTCAAAGCATTTAAACCAGCGTTCACAAGTATCTTTAGATGGAGCATGTTCACCATAATTTTCCCAAATATATAACTTTCAGCAGCACTTTTCTTCAAAATAATGAATTAAAACTTCCTGCAAATGTTCTTTTTTTGCTACAAAATTTGACATGTTTAGGATGATGTAAACACCTTCAGAAAATTTGACATAGCAAGTTTTGAAGCTTGTTGTCAATACAACAAAATAGCATACATATCATCGATTATGTATCAACAACATACGTGTAATCCATCTATTGAAAAAAAATCCGCATAATTAACCGGTACACCTAGTGTGTCCAAAACTGTCCTTCCTCCTCCCCCAATTCCCTTCTTCTCCCATGTTGCCCATTTCAGTGAATGGTGACACTACCCACAAAGATGCTGAAATCAAGACATCTGAAAGACGGTGGCATTTACTTTAATTTCAACAGCTCATCAATTATCAAGACCTGTCAATTCTACTTCCTTTCTCTCTCATAAATCCATCTATTTTTGTCCATTGCCACTGCCCCAGTTCAAAATCTCTCTTCCAACCTGGCCCCTTCACATAGAGTACTGAACCCTTCCCCGGGAGTTTATATTTCCAGTACTTATAGGTATAAATTTAACCATATTTCCCTAATATTTAAAAACAAGACTGAAACTAAAGTCTGAACTCTTTCTTATGACCTGACAGCCTTAAGTAATCTAGCTCCTGCCTACCTCTTGTCATAATTCATAACTTTCTCATTCTTAAATGTTCTCTGTCCAAGCTACACCTCTGCCTTCTCTGGATCCTTCAAGTGGCTTACTTTCTTGGACTTGCACACAGTTTTCTCTCCTTATAAAGCACTCCTCCTCTCTGACTAGGGCACTGGTTCCCAAGCGCTAGCTTAACCACATCAAAGTCATCCAGGAGCCTTCCTTTTTGACCGAGTCCTGGTCCCCACCTATACCGGGTCAAATTTCTTGGGATTGCAACCCAGACATACATCTTCTTAAAAGCACCCCCAGGTAATTCTAATCTGAAGCCAGGTTTGGGAATAACTGCTAGTCAACTTTCATATATATATTTAATTGATTTTTCTTACAGAGAGGAAGAGAGAGGGATAGAGTTAGAAACATCCATGAGAAACAACGATCAGCTGCCTCTTGCACACCTCCTTCTGGGGATGCGCCCACAACCAACATACATGCCCTTGACCGGAATAGAGCCTGGGACCTTTCATCTCTCATATCCACTGAGAGATGCTCTATCCACTGAGCCAAACCAGTTTCGGCATGCTAGTCAACTTTCAAGTCTCAGCTTCAAGCTCACTTCCTCAGAAAGCCACTACACTAAATTTGGTCCCACTAGTAACATTTTCATAGCTACCTCGTGTACATATTTAATATCTGACTTTTTCCAAATAATTCAAATTTTATACTTTAATGATTTGTTTAGAATTTTGGTCATGATAGGCTTTTCAATAAGACAGTTTTACATAAACTAAAAAACATCCTAGCAGTTACAAAATTTGCTCATGAGCAAGAAATAGTTTCTGAAAGCCTGTATTAAATGAATTAGACTTAAAGATAAGTAAGTTCAATGTTCGAGGTACAGAACATCTCAATTTTAGCGCTTCACTGGTGATATATTGAGGGAGTCTCAAGTGCCCTAAGCAGGACTGCCCTGAGGCAGGTCATTCACTTATAAAACCAAGGACCCTAGGTATCATGAGCTTGACTCACCTTCTGTAGCTTTTTAAAGGAAGATGCCTTCATGTTTTCTGACAATTTAACTGAAAAATACTATTAATTTTATTAAGGAAAAAGCAATTAAGATTAAAAAAAAGGTAACCTTCTGATTTCAAGTGTAATTTTAAAAACAAGTGTTAGAATACATAGAAGTGTTTAGGAAAAGTAAGATAGGTGTTTCCAAGAGGAAATTAATATTTTCCTTTAAAACTTTCAATTCCACCATACCATTCCACTGGCACAATCATAGCCAAAGCAAAGTACCTCAATCCTGCAGCACTTATCCAAACGGCAATCATTTCTAAAACCTTCCCCAAAGGATCTATCTTTACAATACAGGGGTGGGCAAAGTACATTTACAGTTGTGAGTATGCAAACCAGAGTTTATCCTTGTATTATTTATTAGTTATTTATTTTCCATACAAGCTGTAAACTGTATTTTCATCCATCCTTGGATATATGGAAATACATTCTCCTTCCCTGTAAAGGTCTGAAGCAACAAGTTTAATTTAATTACTACTTAGCTCCATAAAAAAGCAAATAGTAACCTTCCAATGAGATCACTACATCTCCCAATTAAAAAGGATACAAAATCTCTAAGTTGTCCAAATATTTCATCCACTTTTCCAATCTGTTCTTTGTTTTCTAAATAAACTGGAGCATTAAAATAAGGCACCTTATTTTCATCTGTGGTACATTTACAAACTATGTCATCTTCACAGGGATGCAGGAACTCTCCTAATACTGAAATAGGACAAGAAAACATTAAAATATAAAACAATTTCATATTATACTGGCCAACCACTCCTGGAAGCATTCCTCTTGTTTATCTGGGATTTCACTGTATCTGTTCTTCTGGGATACAAAAGCCTCTCTGAGTTATTAAAACAATCTACAACATACGACCTATGTGACCTGAGGTAAGGGTCTCACCTTCTCTCTGCCTCAGTGTCCTCATCTTTAACATACGGCTAATAACAGTTCCAACACCTACCACACAGCATTGTGAGCAGTAAATGCAATATTAAAAGTCAACGGCTTAGAAAAGTGCCTGGCACATTGAGACTCCTCAACCTAGAACAGTGATTTTATTACAATAACAACTAGTATTATTTGATTAAACACTGTGTGGCATTTTACTGTCCATTCCTCCTTCTCCCCAACCCTTAACTGCAAAACCAGTCTTGGTTGCTCCCTTTTCTTCCTCCCTTTTTACACCTTCCCACTACCACCTCTTCACCAATTCCTTCAATCTTTTCCAGAAAAGTGTGGAACCTCAAAATAACGACCTTTATTTCTAAGTGACTATTGTCACCCCAAACTAAAATACTCATTGCACTGATGCAAAACCAACTCTCCATCCCTATCACCCAGGCTCAAAACCTGGAAGCTTTTAACAACTGCCAGTATTAGCCAAGTTCTACTGAGTCTGTTTCCATTAGACTCTCTCTCCCATCCAACCCTTCCTTTTCTTCTCACTCCCACCATGAATGCTTCCTTCCTGAATTGACTGCGGAAATGGCTTCTGGGCTGGGACCTTGGACTCCTATTATTAATACCTTCTTCAAACCATCCTGCATATTGATCCAGCCTATTCTTTATATTAAACTATATACCATCCTTCCTCCTCTTTGACAGGATTCTACCGTCCAATCTCTCTCTCACTTTCTATGACTTCCATAGACAATTACTCCAAAACTGCTCTAATTAGGTCTTTTCCTTGGCTTCCACTTTGACATTTCCCTTCCAAGCAAAATTCTGACTTCTCTTACTAAAGAGTAAGATACATTCTGGGCTTTGGAGTCAGTAAACTTGCCTTGTACCTCAAATATTTTATTTACTGATTATCACTTATTCCTAGTTGACTATTTCTGAACTGAATCAGACCCTTACCTGTAAAAACGGGACAACAGGGGTAAGCATAACATATTGCCTATTGAATACCTTCCTTTCAGCCCAAGCTCCAGTTCCACCCCCATGGTGCACGCTAAGTGTCCTCCAGCTTTCTTAATCTCCCCCCTTACATGCCGGAGCAGGACTTTAAGTCAGTTTACAGCATCTCCAGAGCTGGGCCTCACCCACCAAGCAGGAACCCCTGCATGTGAGCTGCTGGATCTATTTCACAGCACCTGACTCCCAACTTCCTAAAACTCCCAAACCCACAGCCTCAACCTCACCCCTACTCTACCCGCCCCCCTCCCCCCTCACCCCCACGCTGGCTCAGCTTTGAAACCGACGTACAAACTACTTGTTCCGGAGGCCCGAGGTCCTGGCCTTTGTTAAAGCCGCCGCGGCCACCGCCTCGTCCAAAGCCTCCTCTGCCGCCGCCTCCTCGGAAGCCGCCGCCTCCGCCGCCGCGGAAATTGCCGCCGCCGCCGCCTCGGAAGTGGTTGTTGCCGCCGCCACGACTGAAGCCGCCGCCGCCGCCGCCGCCTCGGTTAAAGCCTCCACGGCCTCCGCCCCGAAAGGACATGCTCGCGCCCACCTGGTGAGAAAAGCAAGGCGTGCGGCCCTCTGGCCCTTGTGGCCTCCGGGCACAGCACCCAACCTCCCCGAACCCCCTGCCGGAGCGCCGTCAAGGGGACAGTATTCCCGGCAGCACCCGCCACCCGACCCACTGCCACGCCGCCTGGGACGAACCCGGAGGGGCAGCCGTGTGGCTTCCCCGGTCCGATGAGCGCCGGCCGACCCTCAGCAGCAGCCATGTCGCCTCGGTGCGCACCTCCTCCCGCTGCGGGCGGGCAGCACGGTCCTCACGCCGCCGTCCCTACCTGCCCGCCTCCCGCCCTCCCCAGCGGGGGGCTCCGAGCCCAGCCTTCGCCGCCGCCCCGGCTCCCCGCGCCTCTCACCGGCTCCACGTGCACCGCTAGCCCGGCTGCGCGCGCGCGCGCACACCCACCCGCCCGGGACTTCCGACGCACGTTGGGCCTCCCAGGCCACCGTCCCGGCACCAAGCGAAGGGGAGAAACGACCAGAAGTTCAAATGATTAGTTTATTTAAAAGTAAGAATACTCACTGGCAAAACCAACGACGCTGTCAACTTTCCAAAAACAGTCTTCAGCGCGGGAAGAGCAACAGTAAAACCCAACTTTAACCACTAGTTTACGACAGTTTGCGACAGTCAGGCCAACGTGCCTTCCGACAAGCAAAGGAAGTGACGTAAAATTGCCGCGTCCGTGACATCCTGCCGTTCCCGGAAGTTCCCGTTTGCGGAGTTGCTCGGGATATCCCGAGAGGGAGTGAGGGAGGGAAGAGGCGGAGACCGTCTCCGTCCCAGCCGCCCGCGGGTCTCCGGGGGTGCCGGCTGGCCTCGCGTCGTCCTGCTTTTCAGGCTGCGCGGTGGTCGGTACCGGCTCCAACCGCAGCGCCGATCCGCGCTCTGTCCAGGAGGGCATCTGCTCGCCTCGGAACCCGGAGGAGGGCTTGTCTGCGTTCTCTAGAGTTGTTTTTTCCCCTCCGTATCTTTTATTTTTTCCCGTCACTGTTTATCCACCTGTATCCTCTTTTAGCTCCACAGTCACCACACTGTTGTCCTTATCTATGCTTTTGTTTTCTGGTTTCACTAGAAGAAAAAGATGCTGGTTGTACTTTTACTAGCCAATATCTGTGTTACCTGATAGGAACCGAGCCATATGGTACCTTCCAGATTACCAGGCTCCCTTTTATTTTACATGGAAGGAACTGACATTCAGAGAAGTGAGCTAACTTCCACAGCTCATAAGAGGGGCAGCCTAGAACTTTGGATTCTCACCGTCCTCGGTCCCTTTTCTGGCTCTCTCCTCTGACTCTTCCCAAATAGTTCATCATTCAGTTATTCATTTGTCCTCATGGTAGCATCATTCTCCTAGTCTCTGAATCTCTTGACTCAGATCTTTGAGCATTCTCCTTCTCTATCATTATCAACATCTCTACCCCAGCGTTGGTTGCCATCTCTTTTATCTAAAGCTATCAATTTCTGTTCCTTCTAAGGTACATTTTTGCATTGTTATCATAGGCCTCCTGTTGTCACTATGAAATGGGATTTTTGGACTGGAACATGTGGTGTTCCCTGGGCATACTGGTCCCCAGGTTCTTTGTCTGTGGGAATCGAAGGTTGAATCCACGGATGCGAGGTGGGATAGCAAAGGTGGAAATTTACTGAAGAACTAGTACAGACTCGCACGGGAGGAAGGATAAAGAATCTCACAGCACAGACTCCAGGGGAGAGGGGGAAAGAGTTCCACTGAGTTCCTTTTCTCTGTGGCTTATAAAGGTAGCAGATCTTTATGCCTTGATATCCCCTCTGATTGGTCACTATTCCCTTGGACTGGTTACCATGGTAACTCCTGAGCTCAAAGGTCAAGCTCACATGGGACATGTGAGGTTTTCCTCTTTCCTTCCTTATTATTTTCCCTTTGATCTTCTCCTGGATGAGAGGCTTCCTTCCTTTATGTTGTAAATATAGACCTTTTGCTGCTCCCAGCTCCCTCATTCTGTGAAAATGTACCTGTTGCATCTTTTCAGCTTCCCTAGTCTATGGAGATATACCTTCTGCTGCTCTGCAGCCCTGTGCTTCTTCCGTGGTCTCCTTAATTTCATAAACCTGTCTTTTCACCCCTAAAAATTCCTTTCACGATTACACTTTGTGTTATTCCTATCCTAAATCACCCAATATAACTACAAGAATTCAAAAGTACTGAAATAATAAGAGTGAACTACAACGACATCTCACATTCTGAGCATCTTTGTTGCCTCAAAATAAATATTTCCAGGTTTTACTTTTCTTCCATCTGTACTTCATATGATGACATGCTGACCTTACTAAAACAGTTTCCTTATCCCATAGCTATCCTCAGGACTCCGAAAGCTCCCCATTTCCTTTGGAAACATCTCTAATGTAAAATCTATGGAGGAGGCCTTCTGTATAATTACTACACATCTTCCTAGCTGACATTATTGCCTTGTTTCTCTGTCTCTGCCATTGTTGAACACTTCCTGCTTAGAAAAGCTCCATTTCCCACTCCTTAGACTAACTTTTTCTACCTTTTTACCCTGGAGGAACTCTTGAAATAATTTTCAGATCTCAAACCCTGCTTATTACCATACTCTGTAGATTTCTCCTCCTTACAAAGGATTTAAAGTCTCCCCCAAATTAAATGGAAGAGGAAACTTTAGTTTTTCCTTTAATTTAGTAAAGGTTGAAAATTTATTTTATTAAATGTTAGTATCTTTTTATAGGCTTGTGGACAAAAAGGAGTCATTTCCATGCTAACCTGATTAGCTCAGGGAAGGCCTACATGGCAGCCTTGCAAACTCAGAGACCTAAAGTAACCACAAAGTCTAAAATTAAAACTTTTAAAAAAAAATTAAAAGCAATTTATGGTGGGTAGGCCAGTATCATCCCTGACAAAGGTCAATCTTTATCTTAACTGAGCCTGTCTCTTGTCTTTTTGCATCTACAATAAAATATCTTTGGAATGTCAAAGTGATTTTCCTTTTTCCGAATCGCTCAAAGCATAGGCAGCGATCTGCAGAGACCACAAATCCCCCCATTGTTATTGAGTTAATTGTTCCTGCACCCACCTAAGTAAAAGAAGTGTGTTATCATTTTACTTTTCATCCAATCCCAGATGTTTCCCTGCTTTGCTTTCTCCCTCCTCCATAATCTATCACCAGTGGATTTCATATATGTAACCCACTTACCTTTCCTTTTTTTTTTTATTGTAATGTATAAAATAAGGTGCAAAACTGCCATTCGCTGGAGCAATGTTTCAATCCATTGAGATTTTGCTTCCCAGCAATTATCAATAGTTTTGGCTCAAATAAACTCACAAAAATTCTTCACAAATTTGAATGTTTCTTATGTCAACAGGCATTTATATACATATATATACATATATATATATGTGTGTGTGTGTGTGTGTGTGTATGTATAATAAAAGCCTAATATGCTAAGTGTCCAGTCGGCTGGTCAGTTGTTCAATCAATCAAAGTGTAATATGCTAATGATATGCTAAGGCCTCTCAACAGCTCACTATGACATGCACTGACCACCAGGGGACAGATGCTCTGACCATTAGGTGGGGTCCCTCAGCCTGGCCTGCATGCACTCTTGCAATCTGAGTTCCATTGGGGGATGTTAGCATATTTCAGCCCAATTGCAGAATGACTGGTCTCTCTGATGCACACTGACCACTAGAGGGCAGACACTCAATGCAGGAGCTGCTCCCTGGTGGTCATTGTGCTCCCACATGGGGAGCGCTGCTGAGCCAGAAGCCAGGCTCATGGCTGGCAAGCACAGCAGAGATGGTGGGAGCCTCTCCCAGTTCCCCGGCAGTGGTAAGGATGTCCCACTGACAGTTTAGGCAATCAGACATCCTCCCAAGGGCTCCCAGACTGTGAGAGGGTTCAGGCCGTAAGGGACACCCCTCACCAAGTGCACAAATTTCATGCACCAGGCTTCTAGTGTGTGTGTGTGAGAGAGAGAGAGATTTTTAAACTAAAAATAATGAAATTTACCTATTTAATATGAAATCTTTGCTTTTTCTCTGTATATTCTCAGATCTGAGTCAGTCTTAAGAATGGCAAACACAGCCCACCAGTGTGGCTCAGTGTTTGAGGGTGGATCCATGAAAGAGGTCATTGGTTTGATTCTGAATCAGGACACATGCCTGGGTTTGGGGCTCAATCCCCAGTGGGGAGGGGAATGAAAGGCCCAGCTGATTGATGATGTTTCTTTCTCATCGAAGTTTCTATTTCTCTATCCTCCCTCTTTTTCTAAAAAGAAATAAAAACATTTTTTAAAATATTTTTTTAAAAAGACTGGAATGCATAGATTTCATTTGCAACCAAAATGAGATGATTTCTGTTGTTGTTTTAATGCTTATTAGACAAAAAGCTTACACAAGAAGAAAATTATAGTAAAGTGTTTATTACTTTCCTATGAATGGCAGAATGCCTTTTTTTTTTTTTTTCACAGAAGTCTAGAACCTGTAATATTGCCAATCAGTAAATTTCATCTTATGTTAATAATAATCAACTCGCAAAGTTCTTCCTCTTCTTTCACAGTCAGGTGCTCAGGCTGAAAAGAAGATTCAGAGAAAGGAGCCCTCCTTCAGACATACATTTGTGTTGAAAGGGAGGGAAAATACTCTTCAACTTTGTTCTGCAATTTCCCCCAGTGATTTGGTCAACTCTACACTTGAGACTTCCTCACAAGTGCAAGCAGCAGTGGAACTATTTGAGGATTTCTTTTTGCTGCATGATTTTTCCAAAGATTCAATTTCTATTTAAAACCAAGAATCTTGTCACTTGAAATAAAAATATTTTCTCCAGGTCCTTGAAGATGTTCAACTACTTCATGTGATAAAAAAAAATGTCACATGAAATAAATAGGCTAAGTTTCTGTAGCCATTCTTGATCTTCAGAGCATTTGGCAAAAATCTAGCCTATTTTCTTGCAAGTATTCCAAGCATTCACTTTTTTAGCTCAAGC